ATGGCGAGGTTGACTGATGCACAACAAAGAAAGTTCATATGTGTTGTTGGACGTGGACGTGGCAGAAATAACTTCAACAAAGCAATTGTGGAGTGTTGTAGGTGTCACAACCTAGGGTAGTTTCAATATGATGCCTTACAATGAATAAGGACGCCAACTATGTTGTGTTAGAAGAGGATGATGAGCGATTGTTGATGGAATGTGTTGACCTGCATGAAACAAAGAGAAATGTTTGGTTTGTCGACTCCAGTTGTTTGAATCACATGTGTAGAAATCCTCGTAAGTTTACAAGTTCGAAAACTAATTTCGCTCTTTCTGTCAAACTTGTAAATAACACTACAATGAAGGTCATTGGGAAGGAGGTCGTAGTTGGTGTTAAATGGGATTAGTTATGCCACTGGTGATGCGTAATTGTGTATTCTACACTTGGATCGAAGAACACCCCACTGAATGTCGGACAACTTCAAGAGGCAAGAAGAGGTACATAAAGTGAAAGAAGAGGTACATAAGTTGGAGAGCAAATGTGCAAGTAGGATATTTGCCTTGCTGGCTGAACCATTAGTCACAGTAAAGAAGGTAAATGTCTTCAAGCTAGCACCATGGACCAATCTAAGTTGTGGCATTGTCGATATGGACACCTCGATTATAAAGGTTTGTGCACTCTGCAGTTCAAGAATATGGTGCCAGGCTTGCCACAAACTACATCTTCAATTGCTTCAAGTCACGCATGCATGAAAGGCGAGTATAATAGGACTCCGATCCCAAAAGTGAGTAGTTGGAGAGCAACGGAAAGACTGCAGGTGGTTCATGCTGATCTTTGTGGCCCCATTAATCCAATTTCAAGAGGCAAGAAGAGGTACATAAAGTGTTTCATATATGATTTTTCTAGAAAGGCATGGATTTTTCTTTTATCGGAAAAGTCAAAAGCATTTTATCACTTTAAACATTTCAAGATACTTGCGGAAAAGGAAATAGGTTTGCCTATCAAATGTTTGAGAACACGTAGATGAGGAAAGTTAACTCTACAGAGTTTGATGAATCATTTTAGTGAAGACACAACTGACCACAACTTACGCTCCGTAACAATATGAAGTGGTCAAGCCCAAGAACCCAACTGTTATGAACAGAGTTAGAGCTATGCTGTCAGAGAAGAAAGTTCCCAAGCGTTTTTGGCCTAAAGAAGGTCGTTGGAATGTTCATATCATAAGTCACTCACCTACACTAGCGGTAAAGGAGACGACTACAGAGGTAGCTTGGAGTGGTGAAAAGCCATCTCAGATGCGAGAAGGATTAAACATGATGACAATAATGTGAGTTGTGTGCTGCTTGGCTCTAGCGAAAGATCTAAAGGAACAAAATGTATGATCTTTTTTTTCAAGTATATAATATTTATATATGGCAAATGCAACAAATAAACTCACACACCCTCCTCGGAGGCCAAGGACTACTAGGCCAAAGGTCCTTTGGTAAAATGTATGATCTTGTTGGTGATGAAGTCATCATTAGTCGTAATGTGGTTTTTGAAGAGGATCATATGTGGGATTGGGATGCAAGCTATGAGAAGGAACAGTTTATTGAGCTTGAAAGGGGAGATATTGATGAGCAAGAAAGACCTGTGGAAGAAGTTGTTGAAGCTGACGTTGTTGCACCCGCTAGAGAAGAGAACTTGGAGGTAAGGGAGGGTCAAATTCGAGGAGCTTCCATGCTCACTGTTGGCTATGTTTTAGGAGAAGGCTTATTAAAAGAAGAACAAGAAAGTAGAGCAATGACAGTCAAGCATATTCAACACCGTTTGAGGAGGCACTTCAGAGTTCAAAGTGGAGACAAGCAGTTGATGAAGTAATAGAATCCATGGAGAGAAATATAACCTAAATTTGGTGGAACCACCTGCTGATGCCAAGATGATCGAGGTAAAGTGGATCTACAAAAACCAAACTTAATGGTCTAGGAGAGGTCAACATATACAAAGCTAGAATTGTGGTAAAAGGGTATTCCAAGCCACAAGGTATTGATTCTTCCGAATTTATGCACCTGGATGACCATAGCTTTAGCAGCCCAAAGGGGCTGGAAACACCATGCGTTGGATGTCAATTCAACATTTCTACATCGGGAGTTGAAGATGTCATATAGAGCAACCAAATGGGCACGAGAAGAGAGGAAGTTAGAAAAAGGTGTATAATCTTCAAAAGGCTTTATATCGGGCTAAAACAAGCACCTAGACATTGGTTTAGTCGAACGGACTCTTACTTTCTCAGAGAAAGTTTCAAGTGTAGCGCTAGTGAACAAGCACTCTTCATCAAAAGGAATGGAAGTAAGATTCTCATTGTGAGTATATATGTTGATGATTTGATGTTTACTAGCAATGACGATGACATGCTAAGTGAGTTTAAGTGCTCAATGAGGAGGGAGTTTGAGATGACTGATTTTGGGGAATGGAAGTTTTTTTCTTGAAATAGAAGTACTATAAAGATCTGGTGGTATCTTTATGTGCCAAAAGAAATAGGCAGCTTAGGTTTTGAGATTGTTTGGGATGGCAAAGAGCAACTTTGTTGGTCTATTTTTTCAGGAAGAAAATATGCAGCGATGAAGATGGTGCTAAAGTGGATGCAACATTGTTTAAGCAGATGATGGGGAGCCTAATGTATCCCACAGCCACTTGACCCAACCTTATGTTTGTTGTGTGCCTCATCAGTTTCTACACGGAGAACCCTATGCAACTACAGGTTGCAGTTGCCTAAAGAATCCTAAGGTACCTACAAGGAATAGTAGATTTTGGTTTTTTGTATAATGGGACATAGCAATTGACTTGGTTGGTTTCACTGACAGTGACTATGCTAGAGACATCAAGGACAGCGGAGCACTTCGGGTATGTGTTCATGATGAGTGGAGGCACAGTAGCTCGGTCATTAGTGTTCGATATCACTTTTTTCAAGACGTTACTAAAGAGTGCGTTCTTCAAATGTTATTTCGTGGTTCACAAGATAAGCTAGCAGATTTGATGACAAAGCCTTTTAAGTTTGAAGCCTTCAAGAAACTACATGAAGCAGTGGTACCTTTGTTGTTCCATATTTGAACTGATCTCTTGTCAAAGGAATAACATTCAAGGAGGGATTGTTTTATGGCCACACGAGCACATTAGGGTTCGGTATCACTTTCTTTGATACCTTACTGAAAGTGTGTTGTTAATGTTATTTTGTGGTTCACAAGATCAGCTTGTAGATTGATGACAAAGCCTCTTAAGTTTAAAGCCTTCAATAAACTACAGGAAGCAATGGGAATGTGTGTTGCTCCATATTTGAAATGATTGCTTGTCAAGGCAATAAGTTCAAGGGAGGGATTGTTGAAGTAGTCGTCATATTTGTATCCAGTTTTTTAGGAATTATGGGTTTGTCTTTAGGTTTAGTTAGTGTAGCTTTGAATATTTCCTGTTGCTTACCAGCATTAAGCAGTAGTGGGTGCTTTAGTGGGTTGTTTTTTGAGTTTTCAGTTAGTTGTAAGGCTATATATAGCCAAGTATTGCTTCAATGAAAGGATAGATCATTCAGTCCCTTTGTTTTATGTTCGTGTTTTAAAACAAATCATTAATAGCTTCAAATTTCACTATGCAGATAGACGAGGATGCAACCGTGGGGGCTGAGGCGTTCTCCCGAATAGCCCCAGCTGTGCCTATTATAGCAAATGTAATAATCAGTAACTACGTTTTTGAGTTTCTTACTGCATCCACTGGAGGCCGGCTTCGATTTCCTACCTATGAGAAATACCTTAGTGCATTAGAAAGGTACTTTATGCTCCTGTAATCTCATTTTCTGCTCGTATTGTCACAAGGGATGTTAAACACAGTGATGCTTGTGGCTTGTATCTCATGGGAGTCATATGGCGGTGCATAAGCCTTTTTGAGTCTCCTACTCTCTAACAGTTTTATATCCTATCTTGGTGGTGGTGGTGCCTGGTTGCAGATTTGACTGGTATCAAACTACTTGCATGTGTCCATGCAGAGGATATCTCATAAGTATTACCTTGATGAATATATTCAACAAGGTTGACATAATTTCACTTTCTCACAGGGCTATTAGAAAACTCAAATCTCACTCAGAATCATCTCAACTTTCATCCCAACGATCTAGAAGAGGGGAAAGGATTCTGGAAGTGGATGGTACCGTCACCACACAACCAGTTCTTCAACATCTAGGGATCTCAACTTGGCCTGGTAGGTTAAATATTCAACCATCACCACTGAAATTTTCTTATAGATAGAAAGGAGAGGTACTTGTTACATGCTGGGGTATGCTGAATTTCTTATACGAGTCTATGCGTGTATCTATGATGTCAGGTCGGTTAACTCTGACAGATCATGCATTGTATTTTGAAGCTCTTCGTGTTGTCTCATATGATAAGCCCATAGCTTATGAGTTGGCAGATGATTTAAAGCAGGTTGTCAAGGCTGAGTTGACGGGTCCATGGGGAACAAGACTGTTTGACAAGGCCGTCTTGTATAAATCAAATTCCTTGTAAGGCTTGAGGGCATATGTTATCTTATCTTGTTTAACACAATAATTTCACATGACTTTTTCAATGCTAATGTATGTGGTGCTGTTTGGTCATTGAAGTTGTTGTCACCTGAAGGTTACACGAATTCCAGGAAATTTGTTTGAACTGATTTTGGATTGCCATGTAGATCAGAACCAGTTGTTTTGGAGCTTCCTGAGCTAAAAGGACATACCAGGCGTGACTATTGGCTAGCCATTATCCGTGAAGTTTTATATGCCCACAGATTCATTAGTAAATTCCGGATTACTGGAGTTGAACGGGATGAAGCACTGCTGAAAGCACTCTTTGGCATTCTACGAGTACAAGCTCTCAATCACATGAATTCTACAATCCCACTGTGCTATGAGGCAGGTCTTATGTTCAATGCTTGTGATCAACTTCCAGGTGGAGACCGGATATTGGAAACAATTGCAACCATTTTGACTTCGAAAGAGCTAGAAAAAAATAACCCCACTAAATCCGGTGATGGAATGTATTCAGTTTCAGCTATTGCCATGGCTTCTAGCCTTGTGTTTGTCTTTGGCACAAGTTCTAATGTGCTTAATCGGTCGCTGATTACTGCAGGTGAGATCATTGTTGGAGAGATTACTCCCTTGGAGAAAGCCGTCAATGAAGCAAGAAGCAATTACAAGATGGTTGCAGATGCACAAGCAACGGTTGATGGAGCTAAAGTTGAAGGCCTTGACACCAACTTGGCCGTGCTGAAGGTTTTGCAGTAACAATAACCTAGTTTTTTTTCTTAATTCACATATGACTTTTATAAGGAAGTTAAGTTTAAAAGGGGAAATACAATTGCCCACCAAACTGTTGGAGTAGCACTTGTATTGCCAACAATACTGGTCAATTGCACTTGAGGGTTATTGGCCCAACAATACTCGAGTTAATGGTAGATCCCAACCTCCAAAGAGGTCAAGGGTTCAAACCTCACCTAACCGGCTAACCTGGTAGATCTCATCCTCCCTGGAGGTCAAGGGTGTTGATTCAAACAACATGAATACGTAAAAGGATCGAATACCAATTCATGAAATGATTATCACATGCATTATGGTTCAAGCTACTAAGATGAATAGATTATTTACTTGTAGGAACATTTTTAACCGCATCGCTTAACGAGGTCATGATGATCACTAATAATCTCTTTTGATGCAAAGTAATGATAAAATAATATTTGTTATGCGTTCTTGTCTCTCTAATTAAAAGTTGTGAGTGGGATGTCCGTGACATCCATCGTAACGAAAAACTGATTATTCCTTTTTGTTATTTTCAGGAGTTGCTTTTTCCTGTGACTGACCTTGGGACTAGGCTTCTCAGACTATTGTACTGGGATGAGCCTGCAAAGTCTCTTCCATTCTGTTTGGTATCCACAGTCATCATTTACTGGTGAGATTAATATTACTTCAATATCTATTTCCTGCTTCAATACTGTTGCCTTAAGCCCTTAATGATGGTGGTTGTAATCATGATAATATTGCAAACAGAATGGAAATGTCCCCAATAATTGAGAAATGCTTCATTACCATGTATTTTTGGGGTCCGTTCCATTGCATTAAACCAGCACCATTGGTGATTTCGATTTCCATTCTCCACCACCTATTATCCTCAACCAAGCACCCCCCTTAAATTGTAAATAGTGAAGATATCCTCATTCCATCAACTCCAATTCCACTCTGTTGCATTTCTTGAAGCCTATGATAACATACAGCTGAAGCACGTTTATGAAAGAATGAACCCCTTGTTAACAAGATGGGCAGAATTTGGTCATACAAACATCATCATACTTCCCTCTTCTTGAGCTCCTTGATCTCATTTATATGGGGTTCGTTTGTCCCATTACACAAAAAGGGGAAAATTGGATAGAGAACCATAAATATTTTGCGAACCATTATATGCATTGATGCATATACACAATCAAAATATGTATTTATCAATTGGCATATCCATAAATGTATACGTACTATATAGGCAAGTATATGTGCATCGGTGCATATATAAGAATTGAAAATAATAGTATATATGCATTAATGCGTATGTTGGTTCTCGCGGTTCTCAAAATATTTATGGTCATTTGAACCTTTCCTTACATAAGTATGTACAATCCTTTTCAACATTGGTGACTAATTTTTTAATACTGATTATGGATGGGTAAGTTTTCTGTAGGAATGTATCATGTACTACTGTTGGGATCTATTTTATTGCATCATTTGAAACTCCTATTATTACAAAAATGAGAGTGTATTGCATTGAAGCAAATGAGATGTATCGTGTATTTATACTAATCATAAGAGGTTGTTTGGTTGTTTTCCATTAATCCTCGAATGTTTTAAAGTAGATTGTTGTTTGTTTGTTATGCTGAATAAAGAGTCCGAATAAGCTATACACGTGCCATTAAGCCTATTAAGCCGATACCAAACAACCTCTAACTCTCACCTAACCACTCCTATCTAAACAAAAAGTGAAAGTTTAATGATACCCTTACGTTTTAATACCTAAACCAAGAAGTGAAAGTACAATAATTATTCCCTTACTTTTTCTTCTTATCATTTTTCCTTTTCTTTTTTCCATGCTTTCATTGCATGTTAGTCTTTATTTATTCCACCTGTCTGCTCACACTCTTACACAAGCAGGGGATTTACTAGGTCTGTTTGGTAATGATTTACATAACAAATGTTGATACCATGTTTCTTTGTGTAGCGGATGGCTGTCTTATGTGGTTGCATTGCTACTCTCCATTTTTGCAATTAATATGGTGCTTACGCGGTGTTTTAGCCAAAGACAAGGAGTTGATGTACTTAAGGTCATAGTGCCTCCAGCAATGAACAAAATGGAGCAGCTCTTGGCTGTTCAGAATGCAATTTCTCAGGCTGAAGAGCTAATCCAAGAGGGAAATGTTGTCCTCCTTAAAATACGTGGCCTGCTCTTATCCATATTTCCACAGGTAATTTCTGCTCTCATCTCTTAATACCAACGGCATACACTTCCAGAAAATAATTAATATGGACCTGGAGACATGACAGTAGAAAAATTTGTTATCTTATGTTTTGTACAACATTAGACTGGGACACGACGTGATCTTGGTGGGAGAAAAATACATTTTTTTCTGTCCCACCAAAAAAGGTGAAACAAAAATCAGGGATATGGGACAAGATTGGTAAATTATTAAGTACCCATGTTAAATTTAAACCTTAAAACTTTCTATAATTCTTTCACACAACTATCTCACTCTTGCCCATCCGATCTAGTCATGTCTTGTTTGCATACCAAACGCACCCCTAGTGAACTAATAATGTAGAGAACTCACCTTTGATTCTAACTTGCTATGAAAATATCTTGAACTGAATGTGCTTCTTACCACCATTTTTTTAGTTTCGTTGTGATTAACATTCTTCTAGCTAGAATGCAAAAATATAAATAAAGAAAACACTAAAGTTTGACATGCTAAATAATTATATCACTTGTATTTGTAAGTTTGCTACAAAATACCGTTAAAAGTTGCTCTTCCAACATGTTTTGGTGTTTTCTTTTATATTTAGCAAGTACGCTAATTATTTTCAGACCAAACTACAAGTATAATCCTTAGAAAGCTAATTTACAGAGGATTTTGCTTCTTTTAAGTTTGGCTATTTCTATTAGAGTGTGTTTGCTATGCGGACGAGTGAAGTAGGCAGATGAAAGAATGACGGAAGGTTTTAGGGTTTTAATCTGATAGAAGTACTTTAGTAATTTAGCAACCTTGTCCTATCTGTCATATTTTTGTTCCACGTATTTTGGTCATGTTTGTCGCATTTGCTCCCATCATGTCCTAGTCTAATGTCACGTCAAACATGACACAAGTTTTTTTTTGTTCTGTCCAATCCCATACTGCTCGCATGCAAAACACACCACCCTTAGCAACCAAATGAACAAAGTAGACAACTATCTAACTGCAGTGAATGAGACATAAGGAGGATGAGGCTCCCATCCCTACAAGAGAATACAAGATTAGTGATAGGCTAAGAGTGATTTTGATCTTTTTGAAGAGAGGAATTTCACAATTCCATATTGGAAAATTAGAGAGTTGAAATTTCACAAATCATAAGTTGTAAAATAAGGAGGAAAATAAATAAATTTGAAGTAAAGTATATTGTTTCGGCCTACGGGGAGAAAAGAAAAAGGATGGCATTTAAGATGGTATTGTAGTTCAATTTCTTGCTTGTCACGGACTTGCTAATTTTGGTTAATATACTCGGTTACAGAAACAACTTGTTTTCTGCGTGATTTAACTTTTCGAATCATGATGTTGGTTTTTAAAGAACTACACTTTTCAAGAATGTGTGATTTTAGACAAAAAGTGTCGAATATGATGGTTTCTTTTTGCTTGTACATTTCCCAAAATATCTCACTATTAAAAGTTGCAATGGTTTTTCTAGCATTTTCACTTGAACTAGAGTTTGTTTGCAAAAAAAATCGGCATAATAGTTTGAAAAGTTAGTCACTGGTTTCTTTCACTAAAGTGTTTGTAATATATATGTATATATATAGTCAATCACATCTATCAGAGATGCATACAACATTTGGCACGACCTAGGTTGCGGGTCAAGTCGTTTGCACATCACTAGACCCCCTTGTATTATCACATGTGACAAGAGTGTTCTCGATGTGATACTATAATCCATCGCATGTGATAACTAAATCAGGGAGGCCCTAGGTCGCGAGCCAAGTCGTCCGCCACCACTAGGTCCCTCAATTGTGTTATCATATATGATAAGGGTGTTCTCGTGTTTTCTTAAAACGGAGGTGTCCATGTTTGAATCTCCACCTATATATAGAAAGTTCATTTAGGAATTGTAAATATTTTGAGAACCATGAAAACCAACTATCAAGAAATTATTCATGATGAATATATCCAAATCTTAAATTTTGTAGGAAACATAGAAAATACTTTGTTAGCGGAGGTTCACATAAGTCAACATGTTAACATTTCATGCTAAGATATGTTAATTTATTTTAACTTACGTTAGCATTTCCATGCTCCTATCATTCTCACGAAATTTTGATTTCCTACACGGCCCTAATTCTTCATGAATATGTTGGTTCTCACGGTTCTCAAATGAACGTGGCCCTACTTATATAAATGTCTCAAACAGGCGAATCCCAATGTTCATCTTTATACTTGCAACATACAAAAGACTGATCTATCCCTTTACGTATACATATGTATGTGTGTTCAGGCAAGTAATAGATTTGCAGCGGCACTCGTGATTTTGGCTTTGATTATGACATTTGTACCCTTTCGATGTATGGTTGTACTTATTTTCTTTGAAGAATTCACAAAGTACTCGCCTATGAGAAGAGCCCAAACCGAAAGATGGATGCGGAGAATGAGAGAGTGGTGGTTTAGTATACCCGCGGCTCCCGTTATACTCGAAAGAGCTCAAGAAGACAAGAAGAAGAAGTAATTACATTATTTTCTACAATCACACAAATGATGTTGTGAAGCATTTGTATGTATATAAACCAGAAAATCTAATTTTGGGTTTGTGGGTATATAAACCAATCTTTGTGCTTCATATCCTTGCAAAAGGGTATTTTATTACTTAAAAGATATTGCATGTTGATTCAACTTCATAATTAAAAGTCCAAAAAGAAATTCTACACAAAATATGATTGTTTAGTTTCTTTTAAGTATATAATATTTGTATACGGCAAATAAAACAAATAAACTCATACCCTCTTCACCTTTGGTGAGGTTCGAACCCTTGACATATTAGGAGGCTAAAGACTCACATACCGTTAAGTCAAAGGCCCTTTGGTTTGTTTAGTTGTATGGTTATTTAGACTCCAACTTTTGGGCTTTTTCTAACACATGCGTTTAAAACGGTGTCTAGAAAGATTGTTTATCTATACTATACTATAAAGTATTTGATAAAAACTCTTAAAAACCATTTTTTATGCATGAAGTACTGTTTATTTATGCATATTACTTAAAATTCAAGATTACAAGTAACTGTGCGTAAGTACAACTTATTAAAGTTTCATATTTGAATTCGTGTAACTAACGGCAGATAAACATAATCAAATAGAGGATAATCATCTCATTTTAAATATAAAAAATCTAAAATATAAGATAATCATTGAGTTATAACAAAATACTTAATTATTTTCTTTATAAAAATTATATTATTAAACCAAAAATTTTAAAAAAATGAATTAAAGAAATACACAGAAAATGAGAAATTTTAAATAGTTAGTTTGGTATAAATATCAAAAAAAAAATTCAATTTTTTATGATGTATATTCGTATTTAGAGTTTATTAAAAAATAAAAACACTATCGTTTTCTCATAACCATATAAAACTGTATTATAACATAAATAGAGACAAAAAAACGAAACATTAAAATCAAGATATATCTCGTTACATTGTGCGAGTAATATTTTAGTTGTTTTTAAAGGTTAGACCATTTATAACATACCAATTTTCAAAAATTGATCTTTCCATATGTAAAAATCTGATTGGAAAAAAAAACCCCTTACATTCCTAAAACAAAAATTTTGATTTTATACAACAATCCTTTCAAAAATATAAGACTTTGGTAATTTGTATAATTATTTTATATAAAAGTTGTTACAATTCTTTTTGTAAAATTCATCCAATTTTAAACTCTCGTCACAACTAATAATTCTTTATAGGGAACGCGGACACAGGTGGTGCATGGTTGTCGTTAGCTCGTGCAGTAAGACGATAACTAGCATACAGAATGTCTTGACTAGAACCATTCATTGATATATTCGTGGCATACATTCTTTTTCTAGTTCTTAGACGGCATTCATCTCAAGTCGATCCATGATTTTTTTAATTTCCAACGTTATGGTGTATTAAGAACACGATGATATTTTCTAACACGTCAATTGGAAATATTAATGCATAAACAATATAAGTTGTTAGTATATATCAATTTGTCAAAATCAAACCATACACTTGCACCAACAATTAGTAGCTTGTATCTCCTTTTTTATTAACCTGGATATCCAACCCGCTATACGAGTCGGCTAATCCCAGGACGACCAACCACTTGCTTTGCAGATAGTCCGGAGTCACTGCATTTGAACCTCCGTGGCCACAAAGGGATTTTTTTTTCTCATTAGATTTGAACTCGGGACCTCCTGGTACTTTTGACCTTTGGAGCCAAGCGCAAACCAATCAGGCACCACCCTTGTGGCTTAGTAGCTTGTATCTTAGGAATGTATCAAGACAATAAGCCGAATCGAATGAAAGCTCACATTAAATAGGTGTTTAATTGTACATCCAAGAATCTAGGTTTTTGGATTGACAAGTTTCCCCGTTAGAATCGTTAGTTATAAGAAGGGTTTTCAACATCAAATTTTAAAAATCGACTTGATTGATCTTCCGCGGATTATAGATTTGGTTTTTACAAATATCGTAAAAAAAATCTCCCTTTCTTTCGAGTAGAAACCACCCTTTAAAGAATAAAGAAATAACAAAAACCTATTGATAACCCTTAAGACTTGGGGATCATGTGAGACCAAGGGTTTTTCGTGAAACCCATAAGACCAATTCTCAACCCTTGGATTAGATCTACAATCTAATAATCTGAACATTCATAAACGCCACGAGACTTCTCAATAATCACAAAATTGCCACCATGCAACTTTAGACCATTAGATCATTAGCTTATAAAGTTGATTAATGAACATAAATTAGTCTTACGGGTCTCACGTGAACCCAACCCTAACCCTTAAACGTGTCTTTTTTCCCAAGATAAAAATTAAATAGAAGTAATTTCATTTTATACACAGTTCGTTTCATAAGCAACCTCCCTTTCTCGTTGAAGTATACAAAAATTGGAGTAACCATAAAAAGCAAATGGTTGATCGAACCACGTTCAATGATTTGATACTGGTCGGAGTTAAACCGCATGAAATCAAATCGTGCATAACGAACCCTACTCAAAATCCAATAAAACCAATGCATTTTTTTCCCTTAAAATTGGATGAAATGAGATGAGATGAGATGAGATGGATCATACTTTCAAACCATCAAATCCACATTGCTTGTAAATGAGAGCTTGCTTCCTTGGGCTTATGGCTATTGCACAATCAATTGATGCCTACAAAACCATCATATCCAATTTCCATTATTACCCTTTGCATTCTTCCCTTTTATACAACACAACAAAAACCCATATGTTTCAACTCTTGCATGTATCATGAAGCTTCTATAACATATAAAATTTATACCATTAAGGGGTCGTTTACCAAACGCTTACTTGGGTAAGCGCTTAACAAGTTATATTACCTTACTGTATAAATATAGTAAGGACCAAAAATCTTACCCGGTAAGAACGAAGCAAGGACTGAGAGTCTTACCTTGTAAGTGAGGGAAATGACTCTTACCATGGTCAGCTCTTACCGGTTAAATTGTCACATAGAAAGCCGTTTTTGTTGACTAAAATCTTACCCGATAAGCAAATAATAGTATTGAATTTTACCAGTAAGTGTTTGGTAAACGGCCCCTGAGAACTTTAAATTTCAATAGTACAACATTCATAAAGCATCTTCACTTATTCATTAAGAGATATGGTTTGTTAACAACTTTTTTACCAACATAAAATAAAAAGATAAAAGCATGTCCCACATGCATAGGTGCCTATAAAATGGAGTCAAATGCTTTGTTTTCTAAAGGGTTTAATTAAGAGGCAACCTTTAAATCGTTAAGAGATGAATCTTGTTTGGCAAAAAAAAAAAGTCTAGTTCTTAATGGTTCTAAAATCATCTAAATGATTTTGCATCATTGGTCTTCCTTAACCATTCAGCGCCCTAATTTCATTGTAAACAATTATATTTCATTTTACACTATATCATGAGAGCCTCTTAATCATTCTGCACCAAACCATTCAACAACTATCAAACAACCCCTATGCATTTTAGTCAAATGTAGTTCAAGTATATGATCTTTTTGACTCTTTTTCGCTAATAGACCAGCATGCTTTGTTGTAATAATTTTTCACATAGTGGAAGCTCGTATTTCCAAAAATAGCCAAAACAGTTTAGCATTTTTAATCGTTTATGTGTAGTGTATGATTACAAATGATTATAATTTCTATTTCGTTTGAAAAAAAAAATTCAGATTGTTTTATAATGAGGAATTACATCAATTATTCATTCTCGGTTTAAATAAAACTTTACATCCCATTGTATCGCACAGGATCATAACTAGTAACTACACTTCCTGAGAGTACTAGTTGGAGGATGGTTTCTCGCCAAACCTCTAGTTGCATACTCGGTGTTGGCATTGCACCTACGTGGTGTATCTAGACTTCAAGAACTCGGGTTGTGACTCGTACAAGGCTTTCTACGTGCCATTGATAATCAAGTTTCTACTTGATACATGGACCCTTTTAACTTTCACGAGCCATCAGGCATCTTTCGGCTTCCTTCCCTGGAAGAAACCGAATGAGCCACAAGTTGACATCCACACCTTCTATAAGAGGAAGTTAACCAACCCTGCAAAAAGGGTTGGGTTGAAAAATATCAACTCATTTAATTAAATGGGTTGGGTTGAGATTTTCAACCTGATTAATAAATGGGTTGAACCCAAACCTAACTCATTGTCACCCCTACTTAGAGTAGAGGTGGCCAAAATTCGGTCCCGGGCCGGGCCTTAACCGGTCCCTACCGGGCCTAATCGCGACAAAAACC